CCGACTTTTCCCATTGTGCGTTGAATGGCAGCCCTTTGACTGGTTGATTCCCTCCTCCTGAAGATTCTTTCTTTGTAGATTTAATAAAAGGAAGTAAAATGAAAAGAAAAAGTAACCTGGCTAGCGGTAGACCAGCTAAACTGTTCGCTGAAGTGTTCCGCCCAGCGATCAAGTCGTTGATCCCTACTTTGAATGGTCTGTCCCCTCTTATCGCAGACTGTTTCATTTACTGGAGTTCGCGTATCACTTGGAACTGTCTTTGACCATTCGCAGATGCAGCTGCCACTTCCACTTCACCAGCTATTGTTGCCAACCAGTTTTCACGATCCTTCTCGAGATTCTTCGTGAGCTGATTTGCAGACGCCTAACACTATTTTGATCCTGACATCACATTGAGGCCATCATGACGAGACTGCAACTTGACGTGGTGTGACGGCTTGTGCACCTCTATGACCCAACGAGCTACACAGGATGACTTTTGTCGAGCCAAAGATCTAACTATGCCTGGAAGGTCAATGGGTAGAGGTCAGACAAACCTCAGTCTCCTGGTCCTCCAGGTTGGAGGTTCGACTTGAGTCGACGTCTCAGTCGGTAAAACGTGTTGGAGGGATAACTGATCCAAGACAATGGGCCTCCATTACGCCTTACCCGCTGCCTGGCGGTTAAGTTCTTGTCAGAACTAAAGACTTTGGTTGAGAACCCTAATCGTTCTCCTGCATCGTGGTTGGACACCCTGGCAGTACCCATCCATAAAGCCCCTATGATAGATTGGATACCCTTCACTGGTCGTCTGTGTGCAATGACGCTACAGGGCTCAGTTAGTGTTCGGAAGGGTTGCAATACCAAAAGGTGTTTGTTTATCATTTCCGCCTATGTACCAACCAACTGCAGTCCCGCTTCACAAAAGGATGAGTTTTACGACAAACTCGCCGAACTGATTCGGTTGAGCCGCAACTCTGATATTAGTGCTGGTAGGTGATTTTAATGCGCAGGTTGGAAAACTGAGCGCATCCGAATCCTGTCTAGGAGGGCACTTCGCCCTTCCCGCCCAGCGAACAGACAACGATGATCGACTACTTCAGTTCTGCGCGGATCACCGGCTGTTACTATCTAGCACCAATTTTCGACACAGCTCTCGTCGAACGGCTACATGGCGTTCTAGTTCAAAGGGAAAATTCACCCAAATTGACCACATAGCTGTAAGTTACCGTTGGTGCGGTTCAGTACGAAATTGCAGATCCTACTGGACCACCTGCGTTGAGTCAGACCATGCACTAGTTCTGCTACGGTCATCGGTCATCGGCAGAAATTGCCTCCTCAATTAGCTCACCATCGTCTGCGCGATCCAGCTGTCCGCGCACGTTATGAGGAGAAACTGGGACAGGAGCTAGGAGAATCGCGACACAGTAGAGTAGACCAACAGTGGAATCAGATTAAATTTGCGATGCACTCAGCAGCAAACTTTGCTTGTGGGACTGAGCC